TGCATTCATATTATAGATATCTATACACAGGAACCCGTCGAAGACATAACCATATACATTTACAGAATGCCATTAAGGAAAATAGTAATCGACACTTACTATAGAAACGCGTAACATCTAGTAAATATTATATCAAATTATTATTACTATTTAGTATATTTCCGATTCTAACAATTATAAATTTTTATGGTTTTTAAGGCGTATTATAGGCAACAAAATTATACTTTTATAATCATCAGAAATGAATGTATACGTTTCTATATTTTTTTTAATATAAATTTTCGTTATAAACTTTACAATAATTGTAATAATAGTAATAATATTACTAATACTATACATATAATTGTAATAATTGTAGTTTTTAGAGTAAAAAATAAAAATAAAAATAGCATTTCAAAATTTTAAACGGTGTAATTAAATTTAGCGTGTAATACTTGGTTAAGTTCGGTTAACAATTTTACGAAATTTATACTTTTTTAAAACAATTTTTACTTTATGATTTTAAGAATACTTTTGTTTTATAATTTGACAATAGAATTTGCAAAATAGAGAATTACAGCCAAAAAAGATAAAAGCAATGACGAAAAATCGTAATTGAAGGGAAATTGCCTTGGATGACTTAATGCAGTCAACAATTCTAAAGTCGTCAAATAATCTTCACAGATTCAAAGCTACAACAATTTTAGCCAAAAAACTGTGAACAAAGTCAAGCGGTCAGCCCCACGTTGACAGAACTCAGTTCACAATTAATATTGGGATCCATATCAGAACGAGTAAGTTTTTATTATTTTCATTACTGAACATAAATAAGATAAATAATTATATTTTTATTTTAAGTGACAACATCTGTAGGTACTCAATTATCAATTATGAATTTGTCGAAAAGAACAATTTAGCGAATTCGACACATAGAAATTTCAGTACCAGCTATGGTCTGCTGGTACTGAAATTGAGACCTTTGATGAATTTATAAGAAGAGCACATTATGACTAGTGATAGAAAACTTTGTTTATTATTTGGTAGTTTTGACGACCCACGATCCTTTAGACTTAATAGCCTACTGTGACGAATGATAGATGGATAGCACATTTTTTCGGCTTTACTTATTTTTTATTAATTTTGCTCTATTTATGTTGTCAAATGTTTCAACATTTTACTGATAATTTAAGCGTTTTTACATAGTTAGACTGACGAAACTTGCTCTTGTTTTTTCCTATCTATTTTTAAATTGAGACCCTTGTTAAAATCTAAGCTTAGATTATAACTTGAGTCTGACCTAAGTCAGTAATGATTGATTTTGAGCTAGCGACAATTAACACAATAAAAAAAGTTTACTTTAGATCTACCCTTTTAAAATATTGTTTTTCCTTTCACTTTTCATAGGTAGTGTGGCGAAATACTCAAAACATTGGCTTTATAGTAAAATACAGCAAATATCTTAATTGTGGGTTAAATTTGAAAAAGCGCTAGCATTTGTACAACCGGCAAATATGGTACATTTATATAGTAAATTTTTAGAACATGACTTTTAATTACATAACAAAACTCTTTTAACTTCTTAACTTAAATACTTTGAAGATACGGGGATTGGTCGCATAGGTCGTAAAATCAAAGAAGAAATCCAAAACTTTTAATAAAAATGTGGAACTTCTATAATCTTGTTAAAAATGATTTACGAAAACAAATCATTCTGTAAAATTGTAAAACAATTACTTAGACTCCTTTTTAAATGCTGCCCACCGTTTAATTTAGAAGTTAATAGATACCTTAAAAAAGAAGAAAAATTAAACAGACTCAAAATCGAACAGATCATAGCAGTAAACAGTGGCAAGGGGGCCTATAAGTCTTTTAGCTTCCATTGACCAATTATTATTATTAACATATTACCACATTCTTAACGTGGTAAGTTTAAAAAAATAGATCTCTGCCCCTTCTGAGCAAAAATTCTGGCTACACCACTGACAGGAAGAACTAACTATAAAATAAAAGAAGTACCATGATAACATCACTAGAATTAGAAATATTTGTACCAAGTTTTACGGCACACTCATTAGGGATTTTTTAAAAAGAATTGCGCATAATTTGAAGTAAATATATTGTTAACTTTTATTTTTATTTTTTTATTTTAACCATTGACAACATTGGCTTTTTATTTTACAATTGCTTTTATTGTATCTAAATGCTGATAACTATTATTTTTATTTGTATTATTGAAAATATACTTGTTTTATGAAATCATGAAACTGTTTTTATATAATTAAATTATCTAGTATTTCTATAACATAAATTTATAGAAATAACCTATTACTCTTAATGTATAATACTCTAACGTGAAATATCTAAGATATACTAATGCAAGTATTGTCGTAACTGTTTTCACTTTTAATATTTTCAATTGTTTTAGTTAGTTCTACTACATCAATGTATTTATATACATATTTTTAAAAAATTTTACTCCACTTTAATATTATTTTTTCAATTAATTTGACAAATTTCTTGTATGACTTAGAATTTTAAAACTTATATAGACTCACTTCTTAGTTTCTTATAGAATGAACAATTTTATTTGATTGTGTTCGATGATTTTCCAACGATATACAAGTTTATTTTATAATATGATTTATCATAAATTAAACTAACAGCAAATAGCACAGCATAACATCAGCGATGAGTTGTCGACTAAATGATCCTCTGCGCCACACCACTCCTCTTGTAAATATGATAACATACATTTATTAAGTGATGCATTCGCAGTTTTCTTAGTCATTTTTAGAGATATTTCATAGTTTTCCTCGATAAAGTATTTTTTTTATAATTATATGTTTACAAATTGATCAAATTCCATAAGACACCAATTTTCTCATAAACTATTGAGCATATTTATTTTTATAACAAGCAAAAAATATTAGGTTCCAAAATTATAATAGTATATAATTAAATTATTTTTCTCATCCCAAAGATAAAAATCTTAAACTATAGTTTTCTAAATTAGAATCCCTATTTTTAACTTGATAAACTGATAGAAAAAANAAATCTTAAACTATAGTTTTCTAAATTAGAATCCCTATTTTTAACTTGATAAACTGATAGAAGTTAAGTAATTTTAGACCGAAATTCTATTGTTCTTTCATTGTTTTAAATACAATAGTCTTCATTTTTCTATGTTATCACATAAACATATTTTTATTGACTAAGATAATGAATATTATTGATCAACCGGTGTAGACATTTTTTCTTGATAACTACCATAATAAATAATTTTGGCCTATCAAAACAAACTATTGCTGCCACTGGTATAAGTTTACCAAAATCAATGATACATTTTTACTTGAAATTCAAATCTTTAACAACTTTAAAACAGATAAGGTTGATCGGACAAAAAATTTAAGAACAAACTTGTTGTTAATTTTTCGATTATTTTATTAAATTAAAAATAGAGGTTTCCATTTAAGAAAATTATAGTTAAAGTTTTTTTATTTCTGAAGAGACGAACAAAATATTTAATTACATATTATTGTAGTTTATTGTACCTAACATTTTTTCTCTTTACAAAATTTAAAAATTCTAAATAGTTTTTGAGAAAATGAATGTCCTATCAAATTTTGATTACTTTGTAATTCATCATATTCTTGATGATTATGCACGAAATTGAATTATTACATTCCTTAGCATACCAATTAAACACTTTTATTTTTATTTTATTTTCTAATTTTAGCCTTTTCAGGCATAATATCTCTTAGTTTTGGTAATTACATTTCTTTAGAATAAAATAACTAATTAAACCAACTAGCCAATTAGTGCAACTTAATAAAAGTTCACAATTCGATGTAAAACTACAATTTTATTTTAATAACATTAAATATAAAAATAAACCAATTCCTAATGGGCATTATATTGAGTTCCAAGAAACAACGTTTAATATCTAATTAATTTTATGTCAAATTACTATATTATTTACCATATTTCTGATTCTATTAATTATAATTTTTATGTTGTTTATATTGCGTTGTCAGTTGTCTGTCCGTAATAACTTCCTAATCAACATCTCTCATATTCATAGATTATATATTATAATTTTATTTTATTATTAATAAACCTTGTTATTCGAGTGTAATACATTTTAATAGGTACTACTATTGATTTTTTCTCTAAGGGAATTTAAAATAATTAGATAAACCCTCAGTATTCAAGGTAGATGTAGTATAACCAGCTAATCTGTTTTGGGTCCTTTGGGTTACTAATGACTGGTATTTGGGACTAGTAACAAATAGCTTCGTATCAATAACTTATGTTATTTGTTGAATTCCAACCTACAATAATTTATTACATTACTATAAAAATGGTAATATCATTGATCAATTTTTTTTTTAATAACATTTTCAGTACAGTAGAACTAAAATTAGATGAGTTGTGTAAAACAATACTGTATGTAAATATATGTTTACTATACTTCTTAATTTATTTTCATCACAATTAAATCTTGAGCTTAATTTGGGTAATAACTTAGTATTTCGTAAAATATTAAAAACAAGTTTTTTATTCTCTAGAAGTGATTTTAGGGAACATACTGGTTCTCTCAGACATAATGAGGTTGCGTCTGGTGGACAGTTTGTATGAAATTCAGTCAAATCGTTAAGGCAGAGCTAACTTCAATTAGTTGGGTTAGAGGCTATGATGATGATGATGACTAAAAACAAGTTTTTTGCATAATTAATGTATGCACTATTTTCTAGAAAACTTTCTTCCGATAAGTTTGAATTGAAAAAGTTGGGAAAGGTTATATACATTCAAAGAAAGATATACAATTAAACAATATCTCATAACATTTTAACATTAAGTTCGAGTTTTCCAATGATAATTCATATTTCATCAACTTTAATTACAAAGAAAATCTGTATAATGCCAATGCTAATAACAAAATTGACTGTGATCTTGTAAACCAAAATGAAGTTGTAGTTATTCAATGTAATTAGTTATTTCAAAACAAAGTTGATACTTACGCAATACTATTCTTGGAAATGTAAAAGACAGGATCAAAAGTCGAAATCCTATAGAGTGCAAATTATACCAGCTTTTCATCATCTGAAATAAATTATACTTTATAAAAATAATAATGAAGAAAAAAGTAGAAAAATAATTTAATACTCATTTTGATATTATACAAATAATTATAATAATAAAATATTTATATTTTTCAGAATACTTACGGCTTTGAATGTATTATATTATTTAGTTTAAAATATATTATTATATATACAGAGTGATTTTTTTTTAACATTAGCCATTCCATTTCTTTTAAAATAGTTGTTTATCTGTTATAAAATATTTCCTATATTCATTCATTATATCTTATTTTTTTTTTTACGCTTTTATTAGCCTATTAAGGGCCATAGCGGCCTCCCCAAAGGAGGAGGTTTCTTAACCATTTATACTCCGGGACGGGTCGTTAGTCCGTCGCCGGAGGTGGGATGGCGACTTCAAATTACCGAACTGATCTCTCGTTCGGTAAATGAAGCCGCCCGTGACCGAGTTTTGAACCTGAGACACTACGCGTCAAGCACTGCCGCGTTACCGACTCGGCCACACCGTCCCACTCCATTATATCTTATAGGGATGTCAATTTTATTTTTTTTTTTTAATAGAAACATACATAATTAGCTTATTCTAATAAAATAGAAAATGATCTAATTAAGAAAACGGCTGATCGATAACAATTTTCGGACCAGTATTTCAAAAGTATACCTTTACCTTGACGAGAAGAGGAGTGAAGCAAATAAATGTCTAGTGATAAAAATAGAAGCACCCACACCTCACTTCCAGTCAATACTTTAAATTTTTAATAGCTTCTGAAATACTAGTTAAAGGTTTTTATCGACCAGCCATTTTCTAGAGAAGAANGCCGCCCGTGACCGAGTTTTGAACCTGAGACACTACGCGTCAAGCACTGCCGCGTTACCGACTCGGCCACACCGTCCCACTCCATTATATCTTATAGGGATGTCAATTTTATTTTTTTTTTTTAATAGAAACATACATAATTAGCTTATTCTAATAAAATAGAAAATGATCTAATTAAGAAAACGGCTGATCGATAACAATTTTCGGACCAGTATTTCAAAAGTATACCTTTACCTTGACGAGAAGAGGAGTGAAGCAAATAAACGTCTAGTGATAAAAATAGAAGCACCCACACCTCACTTCCAGTCAATACTTTAAATTTTTAACAGCTTCTGAAATACTAGTTAAAGGTTTTTATCGACCAACCATTTTCTAGAGAAGAATCACACTATATATACAATAACAATAATTCAAACTATTTTTGTAGATATATTCCATATACTGATTTGTCAATTTTTCTATAAATCAAAAATAAAATTAATGTGTTTAATTATGGAATAAATATTTCCGAGTTGTAAAAAACAAACCCTCCCGATAAATTAATTTCGTTATCATTTGGTAGGTGACAAAAAATACCCATTTTTATACATATCGTCAGCTACGTGGCAAACCTCGTTAGTCAAATTTTACCAATTTTATAACAAAAACGAAAACTTTTTAAATATTGTATTTGTCTCTGAAACTTTAGTTTTTAGGCACAAATTGAATAAATTTCCAAAAAATTTTAATACTAATATTCGTAAATAAGTAATGTAAATAAAAAAAATACTAAGATAAAAAAAGTATTATAAAACCAGGTAAAATTAGATTTATCAATCTATTAAATTAATTCTTGCGTATTAACGGTAAAATAATTGTATTTATGTTATCAAGTGAACAAAAACTTCAAGATAGTAGGAGACGAAGATTAGTTGAGACAAGTATAGATGATATTTGACAATGATTAACACAATTAACATAAAAAACGCTTCGATGCAAAACTGTTAAACTTTTTGTTTTAAAAGTGTATTTTAAAGTCAAGTAAATCATAGAAATAATATAGTGGAAACGTTTTTCTTTTTTAAATTATTAAGTACTCTTAAAAATTTGATATAGATTTGTGAAACGCCCCAGAACATTTTTAAAAATTGAATATAATGTTTATTGTTTCCCATTGCGATTTTTATTTACTTTGACGGCCGTTTCTCATATAAGAATAATCGATTAATGGATTTTTTTTTAATATTATAGTAAATTTCAAAATCTTTAATTTAATATAAGTTAAAAGTTGTCAGATATTCTAGAACATTTTTAAAAATTAAATTGATAAAATAAATATTTTCATGCATGGGAAGTTTTTTTCAAACTCTTCTAGTACTCAAGTCAATATTGAATATTTATAAGGTGCACACCTAAAAAAATCTTATTGTCTGTTAAATACCTTATTAAATTATTTTATTAGAATCGATGTTTTTAGATTAAGTTATAGCAGTTTTAAAATGTAGACAAATATAGTTTAATTTTGAAAAATTATTTAAAATGTCTAAAATTGAGGATTTTTTTTTTTTAATTTTGACATTGATAGGTTCAACTAGAATAAAATCAGGTTCTTTTGGCGCACGAATCATTAAAATCGGTTCAGTGACAGCTGAGAATTTTCATTGACAGACAAAAAATATATACATCACAAAACGAATACCAGTTTGGCATCAAAACATTTTTAATTAAATTTTGTAGATTTATTTTCCTAAAATTAGTACTGAGATAAAAATTGTACTATTATTAAAACAATTTTTCAGTTTCTGTAGTAATGGCGTATTCTTCCATTACTTATTACTTTTTCTATGAAACCATTTTTCATAAATGGAAAGATGTTGGAGCATTACACGAGACTAACAAATGTATTGATATTTTTAAGCTCTCGAGATGTATTTTTACCTTTTAAAGAATTAATCTTTTGTAAAATAAACTAGACCATTTCATACTTCAATTGGTCACCAATCATGTCTTATCGACTGTTTTAGAAAGATTGAATAAACATAATTCCCTTTTAATAATATTTTTATAAATATTAATCAAATATAAATTTTAATATCAATATTGGATTCCTGGCACAATATAAGAGTATCATTTTGTACTTTTTAATAATTTGAATGTATAAATTCTCAAAATATACGGGTCTAAAGTTGGTGTCCTAAATATGAGACGCAGTGACAGAAAGTGTTAAATAAATTAAGTAGATAGCTTTAAAAAACATAATGTAATTTTCCTTAATTCTCTCTGAACCATTGTATAACTAACCAACTGTAATCACTTTAGAAACATTAGGTGTTCACTGAGACCAACTCAGCCTACACACATTTGAGATCATTAAAACGTATATTTGGCTGTGAACTATCTTAATAAGCTTCCGGTTGTAGTAACAATGTACTTTCTTAATGAAAACCAAATTTTCAACGCATTTTCCTTATTTAATATATATTTTCCGTTTTTCGGCTGTGACATTTTTAAAATAAAATATTTAATGATGATTTCTAAAATAAATACTTGCTCCTATAATATAATACAGCAGTACATCGGAAATTTTTAGAGTTAATATTTATACAACTTTATATTATGTTGTTTAGTCAAAATTAATAAGAACATTTTTCATATATGATTTTTTCATGTACATGCGTTTTATTATATTTACTAAATAAAAAAATATAGACGTATAATAAAATATTTTCAACATAATAAAAGAACATAAAAATTTTATCATGAACACTACTAGTATTCTATTGAAATATGTTTTTATTCGACAAGGATCTTAATAAATTTGAATTAATTTTGCGATTAATTATATACATTAATATTAAAGAATTTAGCTATTAACAGCTTTTCAGTTAAAGAAAATCAAGAACAATTCATGACAACAAATTTATTAAGAAATACTAATTAGTATTTAATTTTTTTTTTTGTATCATTTGACGTTTTATATTTTAATCATCTTAAATGTACAAGTTTTTTTATTCACAATAAAAGGTTGACGAGATTTTTTGTTCAAAATAAATACTGTTGTTTCATTGTTCAAGTTGAAAACTTATAAAATATGGTTATGTTACAGTTTTAAGTGAAGTATCATTAGTGAAATGATGTCATTTAAATTATAAATCTCGAAAGAAAAAATTAATGATATTTAAGATGATATTAAACAACTCATTTAAACAAAAAAAAAATTAATCGAAGTGATAATTGTTTACTATTCATATAGTACAGTGTCTCCGTCAAATGCGCATCACATTATGAGCCTATATGAAAGTTTTCAGGATCTAAATCATAAGTGCACAATGGCCAAGTGGTAAAGTTTGTCTCTACCGACGCCTTGAGTTCTAATCTCGTACTATGCCTCTTTTTTCACACTATTTCCGGTACATTTTCAATGACTACCTGTCACTACTCGGCGGCCGTGTTACTGTTTAAATATTTGAAGAGTAATGGTAACATTATGGTTAATTTAATTTACATTTAGAATTTGTCATTATGTGTTTGAAGAAGAGACTTAGGAAGCCAACTCTGATATGATCTATAATAATTTTTATACCATTGGGTATAATTATCTCTTTAAAATTATAATAACGCCTTCCATAGATTAAGATTTTCTCTCCTAAAAGTACTTCAAAAAGTAAATCTTAGTAAACTCATAATTAATCTCATACAAAATTATTATTATTTTTTTAGGTTGTTATTGCAATAAAGTATAACTTACTTTTGGCATCAAGTCAAATATTGTTATAGAATAAAATATTATATGAAACAATGATAAAATAACGTTTGTCCAAAACAAAATCAATTATTTTTTCGGTATCAATATAGAGGCCGAAAAATGGATTGAATTTCCAGATCAATGAACTGTTACACTATATAGATTTTATAAAGGAGACACGAAGTAGGTGTCAATTATTTCTATTCTACAATAAAAAACAATCCAAATTTGATAATAGAATTTGATTTTGTGTAGTCGACCAAATAAAATTTACATAAAGTTTTATTCTGATACAGTATATATAAATATTGTTGATATAGATATAATTTCAATTTTCGATTCACAGTTTTTACATAATTCTTTCTAAATATTTATAAATGTACTAAAGAGAATAGAATCATCTGAAAAATTAATATGTTTGAGTATAGAGTGGATTTTAAGAAATAACAATCTCACTTAA